GAAAGGAAAAAAATATTAAAACGCCAAACGACGTACGCCAAAGTAATAATAATACGGGTATAATGCGGGTATACCTGCTCGATTAGGTTAGGTCAGGTTAGGTTTGTCCGGACGCAGCAGCAGCGATTATAACGATAATATTATAATGTCTATCAGGAGTTTTAATGAAACGTTGATGGAACATGATATCACGTTAATGTATTAAAGTTGTTTGTTCTATACGCGGTTAGGCGCTTTTTTGATTTTTGACGAGACGCCAGAACGCCGCATCGAATAATAATAATTCAAAACATGTGTTCGTCTATTAATAATATGATGAATTTTTTTTTTGTAGTTTTATAGCCGTCGGTGATGTTTTTTTTTTTTTAAAACGTACACATACACACGTTTTTCTACCTTTTATAGATAGCACGGCGACTGGGTATAACGCGTCGCACGCAACCGTCATCCATCAACTAACGGAGCCCCGATATTAAATCTTGGCTGACAAAGAGGGTATAGTATGGAAAAAAAAAATATTCGTATAATATTCTAATATATATTTTGCGGCCGTCAAACTTTTTGACAAATACACCGGATCTATGTGTTATATTAAAAAAAAAAAAAAAATAAAAAACCGTAGAGGAAAAGTTCAAATAAGCGGATCGGTCGATACGTATACATATAGTTTCCGAAGACTTACCCGGGCCATCGCTTCGCCACTGATCGGATCTATGTGTTATATTAAAAAAAAAAAAAAAAAAAAAAAATGTTGACCGTTATTTTTATAATATATGTGTGCAGGCGGCGGTAAAACGGAAAAAAAAATATTACGGTTATAATATCATAACCTACTATAGCTAGGCATACTGCTGACGGGTGCGAAAGTTGAACAATATTATTAGAATACACCCACAGGGTGATTGATTTAATAAGGACTCGAGTGATCTTGTATGAAATTTGTCAGTGTAGATTTGACGACCGGAACAAAAATTCGCTCAAAACGATTGTTGTATCCACGGGTTTACAAAATTCATCCCTAATAGAACTATACTTATAGTTAAGCCCCATATATTGTCGGAAAAATTTGCAATTTATTACTTTTATTACAGATGGAATTTACTGTCATTTTGTATACACTCATACTGCTTGGATAGCAAAACACTGTTTCGTAACGTGGAAACGGAAAAAAGTATCAAAGTGAAATTTTAACTTTATCTGGTAAACTGTAACTTAATATTTACAAACGGTTTGAAAAACTACACACTTATTAGATTTTTTTAAAAGTCTGTTTTGAAATATCCGCGAAAAAGTAATAAATATTTTAACCTCCAATTATCCGACTATCTGTTCGATCCTCTAAAACTGGCCGATTATTTTTAAAACTCGAAAAACCTGAGAACTAAAAAAAACCTGAACTTAACAAACAAGTCAAAACCATTCATAACGGCCGTAACTTGCTATAAAATATATTTTGAATTTTGAGTAGTTCGTTTTTTCTCCGCTGTTGCAAGAAAACTTTACATAGGGACATTTCGGCCGTGTAATGGTTAGGTTAAAATCACGTAAACTGGGTCGACCCGGCGGCACCAGTATTTACCGTACCGTATTAACGAACGCTGAAACCTTGTCGAAGAATGTACGGTACGCTCTTTTTCAAAAAGCATGAAAGGTGGGGTTCAAATAAAAAAAAAATAATTTATAAAATCTGTCCTAGAATAATGGGGATGGGTGCAGCTACTGCAGTTATAGGTAATTTAATGTAGGTATCTGTAAGTAACGATTAACAGCTGCTAACGGAACCGGTTAAGCGGTTGAGCGGACACCGGTCGATAGTGTTGCATTGTCAACGACATATTTCGGTAAAAAAATTACATATACATTGTGTATTTTCTTTAAAAATATTATTGTTTAATATTGTACCTATTTACCCGTTTTCCCTACTCGGGAATACTCCTGGGAAAATCTTTAGAAAAGGTGATATCATTGAAAATCGTAGCAAAATGTCCCGTCGAAAAGTCGTCCACAGAAAACAAAAATTGACATCATTGCAAAACCTTTCAAAACGGTTATGCCCCCTGCGACACATTATTCTCGGTCCGCTCGGTATCCAAAACGAATCGTTAATTATTTGTCGCGCTATCGGGCGCGTATTTAGGCGTGTCATAATATCGTTTCTACAGTCGGTCAACCGTACGAATAATTAAATCGCACTCGACCGCTCTGGCCGTCCAGCTCTCCAGCTACATTATAATATATGGCCGGTAGTCCGGCCATAATGTTATGTGCACACTCGCGAGCTGGGCATTGAATATTGATATTAATTATGCCCGTTTATCGCGAGAGGTCCCCCGGCCATATCGCATTGGTAAATAATAAAATTACCGTCGCGCTAATGTATACGACGCAATATGTGTATGTACATAAATACGGGTACAGAAGTTAAAATAGCATAATTAAAATCGATAGGACGCGTTATTTCGAACGGCGTGCCGGGGGCGCGTTAATAAACGTTATACGTTCGCGGTTTTCGCCTAGAAACTCGTGCGTAAAACCGTGTTTGTGTTCGCACGGGAAACCGCGGTATACCTATATGTACAACAGTATGCAAAATACGGACTAATCCCAGTTGAATATTATTATAATATTTCCGTTTTATTTATCGGCTTTGCGCTTTGCGCGACCGCCGCTGCCGGGCGAAACAAAACTTTTATCGTTTTATGTCGCCGGGATTCGGGCGTTCGGGGACAATAGTGAAAATCGCGCGTTGTATCAATGCAATATCGCAATATAGCACGGTGTGAAACGAGCCGCGCGTTCGCGAACATACGACATTTTGCTCTACACGCAATACGATATTGTTTTCGTACTTGGACGTGTATGCGAGATTATCCGGAGCGACCCTATCGTTTTTCCGCGAGCGATGAGAAATACGAATTCAACAAAAAAAAGTACCCGTTATTGAGATTTGGATTTGGTATCGGACTTAGTGTCTACCTCGAGACGTAACCAACCCGACGCGGAATCGCCGTCCGCCCCCGCCGTCGACAGCCTCGGGTTTGGAGTTTGAACGTAATTTTGTATGATTCAGAGTCCGGCACCGCTTGGGTCTCGGTTATTACGGCCGTTTTGTATATTTTGTCGCATTTTGCCCCGGGGACACGCGAGTGTGTGTGTTCCGCGCACTCGTGGCTGTCTCGTGAGAATAAAACCGTTAGGTGTACGCGACTAAACAAACACAGCCGTGTGACCAAGATAACTAAAACTCACTATCGCTGCGCATTCACTCCGGGTAACGTCGTTTTACGGTCTCGTTCGCTTGTTCGACATTGCATTAACATATTTAAACTGCTTCCGTTAACCTCTGTGTGACGGTAATTTTTTTTCGGTCTCGTCAGGTGTTATGCCTTTATAAGAAACCTCCAAAGGACGGTCACCTCTAAATTTCGGTCATTATTTCCGGTCCGTTCGATGACCGTTGCATGGACGTTTTACTGTAGTCTACGGTCGAAATGTGTTTTTCCGTGAAATATTTCTTCGCGCCACGATTTTCTCTGCGTAACGTCAACTTCGGTGTACACTTTTTTCTTTCCGGCACTCCTGTTTATTTAGCCGGGAACGTGAAGTATATGATCGGCAGTCGATCGGGAAAATCTATATCGTATTATTATTATAATAATCAAGAAGTCACGCTACCCGATTTCGATGACCGATATACACAGACGACGCGGTAAATAAATAAAAAGTTTGAACACATGAAAAGTTTAGAAAAAAATTAAATTATTAATATAGCCTGTGAATAAATCAATAGGTATATCCGCAACGTGGAAGTAGAGTTATAGTTACCTATGCAATTCCTAGCAATAATGTATGACGATCGTCGATTATCCCGAAATAGTTTGATGAAAATATTTTAAGATTTTTTTTTTTTATTATTGAGCGACTTTCCATTTAACTCCGATAACTTTTTGCCGCGGTAATATTATGAGAATACATTTTGTTACGTTCGCATTGCTTTCCTCTATACTTTCTTATTTATAACCGAAAAACCGCTTTATACTTTGTCAGATGTTTTATTATGTATTGCAGGTATTATCTATTAACATGTTTTTTACGGGAGATTTCGGTTAAATTTTCAAGTGAAGAAGAAGGAAATGATGTCTATTCGGTGCATCGGAGATTGTTTTTTCTCTTGTAGTTTTCTTAATGGTTTTGAAAAACCTGGAAAGTTTACTTCATTAACGAATCCATTATTTTCGATATTGTTTGGTTGTAGAGACTCAAAATTTCCACAAAATCCTTACATTAGCATTTTCAACTAAATATTTCATTCTATTCGTGTCACTTATGATAATTAGTATGGCACCGGACTTAGTGAGAACATCGTCAAGCCGATAAAACGTCGGGTTTAAATCACTTCAGAACTTTGCGGAAATATTACTGTAGCTTTTACCGTAGAAAAAACGCTTAAAAACCATTAAAAAACGTCATCTACTGTTGTCGGTACTCAAACACAATAATACGCCGAATATTCTCTTTGCCAGACGTTTTTGTAGTACTGAAGTTGTATCAGTAACGGTTCTGAAACTCATTTAGCTACGAAAGCTACGAACTGGTATCGTAGATACCAAAAACCGATTTCAGAGGGATGGTGGTCTAAAATTAATTGTTCATAGGTATAGAAAACATTTATATTTTTTACATTCGAACGTAAGTACAAATTGATCGATTATTCACCTTTCATCTCCCCCCCCCTTACCTCTCAGTCAAGACTTAGGGTTACAAAACGTTCGAACCTATATAATTCAATCGACGTTTTTTTAAAATAGAGTCAAATGGTAGAGAGGGAGAATATTCTCCACATCGCTCCCCTAGAATCCGACGTCGGTGTATTCAGTACAAGTCATATAAATTATCAGCATCACTCGTCGTATCATATTTTCTTTCGTTTACGGGCACCGTAACCGTTATCGTTACCACCAATATTCTGCGTGTGTGTTCACACGTTTCGCGTCTATACTTACGTATAGTTATCCGGTCCCCTCGTAGTTTTGGCCCCCGCACTTTACAAGGTACGACACACAGTATAATAATAACGTTATATTATGTATACACAGCGCAGCAGAAATCGCCGTCTCCGGCGAAATTTCGGTGTCGGCGTCACGGGTACATAAACACGACGACAATATTACTATGTCAACGTAATCGTGTGTGTACAGAGTATTACACCCGCGGCAAACTGCGTCAGAGGCCCACGCGACAACAGCTGCTGGAGGGTATAAACCCCCCTCACCCCTCTGTCACTCCTGTTTTCCCCTCGGGGAACAAAAAAAACCCCGGAAATATTCTCCGGGGCCCCGGAGACATTATACACGTGATATAATATTATCAAATTCCTCGAGTGTATACGCCGAGAATTAAAATCGTATTGAATCGCTCCGTATAATTTTGCATAATATTAGTTTTTGCGGCGACGGCGTTCTGCATACAAACCGTATACAAATGAATTTCTTGCGCGCGCTATTTCCCGCACAGTGTAACGCGGGAGCCGTCTCCTACGGCATTAGACCCTAAATTGATTTAACGGCTTACATTTTCGGGTATATATTATAATTATAAAGAGGAACACATATATTATGATTGTTATTATTATTATTGTTTGGCCGTCCCAGACCACCGCGTTTATTAAATTCTCGAGGTTACCCTCTCGGAATCTCACGGATTTTTTTTCTGCAGAGTACACCGTCGCAAGAACCGAGCGTATATTATAATATTCTCGACCGATATCATAAAGGTCAACTGCAATATAACCGAGTGGAAAGATATAAACAATGCAGAAATCACTAGTATACAAACAAATATACGAATGAAAAAGCATTTCTGAAAGTTAAACAGAAGGATGGCCGATACATAGTATCGAAACGGAAAGATCTATCTAAAGGTTGTACGTAGGCTTTTCGGGAGACAGAGTGGTTGAATTTATTAGTGGCACACATTACAAGAGAGACATAAAAATAATATAAAAACAGAACTCTGTCACTAGAGAAAAAAATTTCCTTCCAGCCGACTTTCCAGCCATTCCTCTAACCGAAAAATAATTGAACTACCGTAACTTTATGGTTTAGAGTTTTATTAAGTTTTAGTCTGTATAAGGGTATTTAGAATATCCCGGCATATTCTATGGAAACTTGAAATTAAACCATATAAATTATTTGGGAGTGTGAATTCTAACCCCCTAAATGCGCATCATCCGTGTATGAAACCATACAAAACGGTGAAACTCGACCGAAATTTTATCACTCTGTGCCGATATAAAACCGCTCCAATTTCAGAGTTTGTATTCATATTTGGTCCGGAGGGTATCGGCTAAAAGCGGTGTCCAAAAGTAGCGGGAAATTGTGCAACGATCACTGGTTTCGAGGCGGGGGAGAGGGGAATTCGTCAAAAACGAAGATTGCGGTTTGTAATCTCTACTATATAAAAATAATAATAACAAATCTTTACTCCAACAACAGATATATACATTGTATTTAAGATATTAGTTAAAAGTTGCAGCATTCCCTGTAAGCAAAGCTTGTGCTGGGGGCGCGGTTCTTATTATTAGAGTATATAAACAATTTAATATATTGAATTAAATTTGACAAAACACATGAAATAAAATAACATACCTATGATAAAAATACACGCATAAAACAACATTTTATATATCTACGAACAAATATAGAATAAAGAAATTATAATAAGTGTTGAAATATTAATAACAAGAAAAAAGTTTTGAGTACGAGAGACTAATATTATATAGTATCTTATATTCTTATATTTTAGTTGGATCCATTGCTGGTGCCCCGAGAAATTATTCGGGGCGCCGACAACGGTATAGACAGCCGGACCACGCGGCGACGGAGAGGGCCGAGAAACTATTTCGTCGGAGATTTTTCATTAGAACGACAAAGAAAAAAACCACGCACCGTCGATTTTTCACTCGCGCTCGACGGCGACTTTGTCACACGGTTTTTCGAGAATTTCCGGCGGGACTCTGTCCCGCCGAAACCCGAACCGCTTTCAGACCGGACCGGCGTCGGGCCCCGTCAAGCCGCCGCCGCCGCCGCGATATTAATTACCGTCGTCGTCGGTTCGGCCGTCGTCGCGGAAATCGCCTCGCCGTCGTCGTCTTACCGCTCGTCCGTCACTGTTCCGGCGGCCAATCCGTCGGAGTGAACGTCCGTTTTTCGCTCGCGATTAAAACTTTCAACAGGCAAAGCGCTTTACGCGGATATGGCCGGCGACTCGTTTCGATTGCCGCAATTCCGTCGCGAACCGACGAGCTACCCGACCGGCACGACGTTATCCCGTCGTATTTGTGACCGCGGCACTGTCCGTGTTTTTAAACGACACGCCTCGTAATTTTTTCGACCCGGAAATGTCGCGTAAACTCGAAATATCGTTTTCGGAGTTCGGATCGCGAATCGGGTCGACGGTATGTTTATACCGATTGAAATACTAAAACCGGTGTGAAGTTTAGAAATACAACGACGGTTGGGGCCGGATATCCAACGGCAAAAGAGTCGTTTACAGAGAGAGAAAAAATACACATTTACACATAAACGGTAAATCCTTCAAAACCTCAGGAATATCCGAGTTCGTTCGTCGAATTTCGCAAAAGTGGCGTAAAACCCGATCAAAGAAATAAATATTTTCTCGGCAAAAACAAAATGATAATATAATAATGAATCATCATTCATTTCGGGAATATCGATCTTTTCCAGTATATCATCGTTATCGCCGCCGTCACGGTTTGTTTATTTTTTTGTTTGTTCTTTTACTTTTCGCCTCGATTATTAGCTCCACGCTGCGCACGTTCGTTCATGCATAATTTTTTTTTTTTATCATTAATCATCATAAAATATTTATACGGTAAATTTTTTAATACAATTATTGATTGGACATCTTATCTCTTTTAAGCAAGCTTGTGATAGAAATAGAGAGTAATACAATGTTGATTAATTTAAAACAAACAAATAAAAGAAAATTACAGATAAGTACATTCAAAATAAAATATAAGAATACAGAATATTGATTGATAAATAAATAAAATAAAATAAATTAAGACAAGCAGATACTAATTTAAAAAACTTAAACATGTGATTACCGAGAAAAAAAAAACAAGAAGATTTAGCTCAAATCTAAAAATAACCATTTATATAATATCTTTTTAGCATAACTCAATGCCGTGCTAAACGTAATAATCGGTTTATTAAATGTATAACCATAAACCGCGACAATCCGTCATAATAAGGGAGAGGACGATACGTCGTACATAAACATTGTAATATACGCGTGTCGGAACCGCGAAAAGCTCACGGACGCGTGACGGGCGATAAGAAAACGCGTGGTGTATACGACGGTCCGGAAAAATCACGTAAAAAAGCCGAATTCACGAGCTGCGGTACAAAGAGGATTCGCCGACACACGTGATGAATTCCCGTCGCCGATTCACGCCCCTGTCCCGTCCTCTTGGGAATGTACAACAATAAAAAAAGCTCTATGATCGGTACGGCTCAAAACGTCGCCGAAAACAAAAAAATATCACGGAGACCATGAACGCCGGATTTTTAAAAAACGTAACAGACAGTGATTTTCTTCATGAATTTTTGGTTCTTCACGATTTTCTTAACCTCAAGAAAAAAAAATCGTATTTATCGCATACGTATACAACGTAACTTACGGCTGTTCGTTGTTCACCGCGATTTTAAATCAATACTAATCCGAACGATTACCAAAAAAAAAAAAAAATAATAATAATAATTTAAAGTGAGAATGTTATCGGTTTTTTCGAATTCACGGTTTACGTTCGAAAAAATAATATGAATCCTTCGATAAAATACCTTTCATATAACAAGTGGTAATGATCGCCTATAAACGTTGCAAGTTTCTTATCGGTTAACGGTTTTATCAGTTATCCATTTGGAGTCTTTTTAGTTAATTCACAATACTATAAATCATTTGGTCTGGTATCTAACGCGCGCATTGTTCTCCGAAAATATCACGACAAGCACTCAAGGCTATAGCGATAAAAATAAAAGCAAAAGTTCCGTACTATATTTTGTAGTTAACATTTTTTTTATTCGCAAAATTATTGTGTTTGTGATATGATTGTCGTCATAATAATATATGTCCCCAAAATAACTATACGACACTCAGTGTCTTCCAATAACCGGAGCCCTGGATCTTTTCGTCTTATTCGGTGTCCACTTCCAGTGACGTTCGCAGAGGTGGTTATATTGGCTTAAAACGATGGTGAGAGTTTATTTAGATATTTTGTATTAACATAAATTACAAGCGAAAAAAACTCGATTTATTGAATATATATGGATTTTTTTTTTGTTGAAAAATCTGGTTTTTAAATTCTCAATATCGCGTTGGAAATCACAGAAGAAAATTATGCGATTCATTGATAAATCGATATAATTATTATATAATAATATAATAATATTATAAATAAAATAATTAACGATATAATAATTCCTGGCCACGCTAACGGCCGTTTTTAACCGTTCTAAATAGATGTCACTGTTTGCCATCCGTCTGGCGTTTTTATCGGCATTTTTTCAGGCCTTATTCCCCGCTGGCCTCCATCTCGATCGCTGCCCTTACTTTGCCTTTATACCGTTTCCAGGTCTCTCCGCATAATATATTACGGCGTGTTAGTCAAGCCCCCGTGAAGTCTTTGACACCTCGCACATTGACGGGGCCGCACCTTCGTCATTTCCCGCGCGTGTCCCCGTTTTTCTTTTTCCACCAACGATATACGCCGGCAGTTTAACCCGTTTCCCGAAATAACGTTTGCGCTAACAATTATGATATTGCATCGCCGCCGTGATGTCTTGCTATTAACATTGTTCGTGAACAATGTGTTTAGCGGCGCGTAAATTTTCGCAGTCCCGGACGGTCGTCGAGGAATATTGAGAAAAAAAAAATAATAATAAAACGTCGGCCCCTTTCGGGCCGAAACGACCGAAAGTTCGGTTTTGTATGCTCGCACAGTATTATATTTTGTAGAGGACTTTTTAAAGTTTACGTCTAAATGCCAACGGTTTTCGACACGTTGCCCGCGTTAAATTCGGAAAAAGAGAGCGAAAAAAAAAACTACCAGTTTATAAATATTTTGTACGTGATGCGCGCAGTGTTTCTATATAATATGTATGCCGTCTTTTTCACCGTACCTATATATATATATATAAAGAAAATACAAACACTTAATAACTTTTCGAAATAATGTTATATTGGCACCCGTAAGATAAACACGTATCCGCGTGTTATACGCGGGAGTACAATATTGACTCTCCGAAACGAGCATTCTGGGTTTATATATATCATTATTTTCCGTTGCTAGTCGAACGTTGGTGATCATGAGTCTCCACGATAAATCCGTCAAACATACATTGTTATTATGCATAAATATACTGCGCCTTTTTTTTTTATCCTACACCGGTGATATACTTAACATTCCCCACTCCTTACGCAAATATTGCTCAGTTCTCCTGCACGAGCTAGGTCTGTTATAACCCAGGCTGATCGAAGAACAAACAACAACATATAGTTCTTTAAAAATCTTACTGGCGGTTCTGTTGGTGCCCCGTCGTTTCTTTGCCTTTTAAACCTTCGTGTCCCTTCACGTTCAGCCCGCTTTATCGCTCCGTTTTCTTTTCCTAAAGGCCCTTCTGATTACAATTGGAATAATCTGATTGACCGATTAATGCGTCTATAGACAACGCCCACCCTTCATTTCTGTTGTAATATTACCTAGGTTACTAAGTTCCGTCTCGCTTCTACCGAACTCGTATTATTTGTAAACATTTACTATTGTACTTTGGACCAAACCCGTATTTACATGAAATAAAATTAAATTAAACAAAAAACGCTATCGGGTGTGCCACTGTTTTAAGAGGGAAGCCGGAAACATTGAAGAGAAATTTAATTTATGTATACGTGGCGGAAAACCGGACGGAGGATTATCGACGGCGGTTTTGTACCCTGTAGCCGAGCCGTTAATTCAAAAATATTATACAAAAACCATATAATACCAACAACAATTGTCATCAGTTAATACTTCCGTTTTCATTTAGAAAACTGCGACGACTACCTCCCTCTTTGATCGGATAAAAAATACAACGGGGAAATGTCTATACGGGAATTTTCGATCGAAACCGATATTGATCTCTGGCGAAAAAATCGTTTATTGACGCGAAAAACGAAAATAAAAACACGTCGTAGTAAAACCGACGGTACAATCCTGTTTTAGTTTTTTTTTTTACGTCTCATCATTACTTCGTACACCCACTTCCGAGTGTAAAATTCTAACCGCGCACTACTACTACTACTAATGTAGGTAATATTATACACTAATACTACTACCGCCACTAATACGCTCGGCGACCATAAAACCCCAATTAACCTTTTAATTTAAAATGTTAATGTCGCCGCCGCCGTATTTAACTTAACCTTTGGGGTAATAACTTTTACGTCCTGCGGCATTTCGGGTTGACGGCGTTTCTTTCCCACCGCGTGCGTATATATAGTCTCCCCGCCATACGTTAATTTCGCGACAGTATTCCGAGCGCGTTTCTCTGTAGGGTCGTTCGCCGCCGTATTCCCGCGCCTTATCCGCGACGTTGTTGGGATTTTTTTTCGCATTTTTTTTTTTTCACGTATTATTTAGTTTTATAACACTACGCAGGCAGTTAAGTTTCAACGGCGGTAGCGGCGATTCGTAAGCGGTATTGCAGTCATAGTGTAATTAAGAACAACACTAAGTTCCGGGTTTTTTTTGTTTTTTAATTTGTTACAATAATATAATACGCGTAATGCAATATTAAAGGGCGCGCGTAATACGTGAAGTCGTTTATTACAACTGTTATCTCAACGAAAACGGCCACTCGCCTTTATGTTTTTTTTTTTTTTTTTTTTAACTGCATATTAAAACGATATTATTGTCCTCGGCAAGGGAAAGCAAATAATATTATGTCGAGGAATGTAATTTTATTTTTATTTTTATAATCGATCCATAAAAATACGTCTCATGTTTATCAACTACATATCACAGTTTTTCCTACGGAAACCACATGGTTACATTTTTTCGCGTTACAATTAAAGCGTCTCGCAAATGCTTGACTGATCCCCGGATCAAAAACATATTATTTGTGTACAAACCCAGTATTTCCTATGAATACATGCAATTTAATCATGAAAATGATATGGGTTAGAGTTGAAAAGCCCCCAAAAGGCACCGCCTCACAGATGTACAAAAATTTCATATCCCTGGATTCATTCGGAAAATCTGTATAAAAAAAGAAAAAAAACACTTTCGACACTTCAACACATCTAAAAAACAACTTTCATTCCCGAGTTTTAGCTCATGTGTGGTTCGGAAGGATGTCTAGTAAGTAAAGAAAGTAGCGGAAAAAAAACATAATACCAGTAGCAGATCTAATATTCATATAAAGGGGGTGCGATCTAAGTGTGCTGTGGGTACTGAAAAAAAAATTCTCAAGGTGTGTTTTAAAATGTGTATGATTTAAATACACATAATATATACTCATATTGTTTGCGTTCAAACGTTCACCTCTGGATCCCTCTCCTCTCGGTCAAGATCGTCTCCCCTCCTCTTAAATCCACTACTGCTCAATACAGAGCAATAGTATCTCTACAATCCGGGAGAATACAATGAAAACATTTTTCCGATGAATACATTACTTTAATACTGTACAGTAAAAAAATAGATTAAACCAGACAAAAACAAAAATCCAACCGAAACGTATTTACGACCTCATTAAATGCGAAAGGGGTTTATTCTGTGCGCGTGTGACAAACGATAGAACTTGGTGTTTTTTATTTTCACGAGTGTTCTTTCGGAATTATTTTTATACTACCTACTCCTCTACGCACATTATTTATCGTTTCGGATTATTATTTTTAGCCGGAGTGTGCATATACCTAGCCGAATATAACCGTCCGGTTTTATATCTCGAAAGTGTACAGCGTTGGAATCGTCGCGGTCGTGACTATATCGATTACGCACCCTACCCCCTCTCCATTATCCCCATTATCCATTATCCCTATTATCCCTCCACTCTCCGACGGATGCAGACGCGGTGCGTACAGCTGCCGCAGCACAGGTGAACGCGGAAAAAATACGAGTATAAAGTGGCAATAAAAATCGCGGGTTTTGGCGACGGAGGGAGGGCAGGAGGGAAATAAATGAATTATGTAGAGGGAAAACAGAAACGCGTGTTTGTCGCGGGGCTTTTAAGCGATTTTAAGTGGGCGAGGAAGTTTAGCTGGTACCTATAATAAATATACGAGACCGGGAAATAAAGACATTACGCGAGGACCTGGAATTTCGATCGAATCTTTGTTCTTGCAGTCGATAGCGCTGTGACAATACTTGCGTGTACGGCGGAAAAGGATCGGAGAAAAAAAAAGTATATTACACGCGCTGCGGGGATGAAATATCTAAAGCATTTATTGTAATCCGGGGATTCAAACGGATTTTTATGGCGTTTTGGATGAATCGGAAGACGACGGGACGAACGTCGGCCTCCCGTCGGAGAATCGGCAAATAATAAAACGATGAAACCGCGTTTTTAAAAAGAAATAATAATAATATAGTAGAGCGGGGGAAAACTTTGTACGAGTGACGCTGTGCGCTGTATATTATTATTATTATTATATACGGTGGAAGCAAATGAAACGGATTTTTTTTTTTCCATCGTTCGGTCCGCTGGGAATGAGAAATGCCGGGCAGCGAAGACGGTGTATGTGTGTGTGTGTTTGAGGGAGGGCGAGAGAAATCCGGAGGGAAAAAAGCAAATAAGAATAATCGCCTTGCATTCTTTTATGGGGTAAAAAGAAACTTTTCTATTCTTTAAACTTTCAACTTTTCCACTCGTATACAATAAATTTCTGCTCTCTTGCCCACCGCCACCTCCGCCGATCGAACTGGGTCACGTGTACGTACGTATGCGCGCCACGAGGCATACCTATTATACATGTGTATATGATAAAAACTTTAAAATATTCGGGTAAATTTCGATTTTCCAGAGAACCCTGAGTATTGTATTATTTCCCCGTAGACGGAGTCGGCAATCTGTTTAAACGCGGATATTATATAATATACGTATATGCAGATATAGAGACGATAATATAACGATATAGAGACAGTGCGAGAATGGGAGACGGTCAAAGCATATTATACCGACAAAATATACTGATATCTTCTCGTAGAAGTATTATAATGTACAATATGAAAGTATAGTCAATTTAGACGTGGGCGGATCATTAAAAGAACAAAAACTGGGGGAAAAAGTTTATATTTTCTTGTTTTTTTTTTATTTTAGGTTTAAGCTTAATCGACATGCCCGGGGACCTCGAGAAAACTTTAGCACGTTAGCGTTCCAGTTTTTTTTCCGCCGTCTTATTTCGCAGAAACGGTGACACTCGAAAAACATCATGGGATTTAAATAATAATATTATTTCAAGTCACCTACAGCCATGGGTATCCGCGGAAAATTTATCATGTAAGGGCATAGTAAAATCAAACGCCAAAAAGTACTTTAAATAAAATGATATTAATTAATTATTATTAAAATTGTATTTGAAATTTTTAAATCCAAAGGGGAGGGGAGTCGGATGCCCCATCTTGCCCCCTCTTTTCATACGCCTATGCCTGCAGCTATACATAGTTTTAATCACTCCCGCAGTAATCGCAGGACATTACATTCGGCGAATCTCCCAAATATCGCTATTGAAATACACCCGTTCGAAATCTGACAAATGGTAAAGTTCAAATCGCACATATTTAATTAGTCAAATCGCGTTTGAGTCGAAAAACGAGCTTAACGGTCAAACCATGCTCAGATCAAGAAAGCCATCAGTTTGAAAAATGGTCAACGATCCGTGTAGAATTGACGTGACTCGTTTTAAACGGTAACGGTATTTAAAATCGAATACGAAATACCGAGAAAATTAAAAATTTAAAGATTTCGCCTAACCTAATCTTTCGCTCGAGCCGCAGCAAAAAGAAAACATAAATTGTCGGACTGTTGGGCATGAGATGGAATCATGGTCCGTATACAGAGCTCTAGAAACCCTCGAAGAGAAGAAAAACTGAATACGCCTAGAGTTACGTGCAGGACTTTATAAAGGTAAAGGGTAGCGTGGTGAGGGATTTTACGTTTGTTAGTTTCGTTTTATTTTCGTTCCGTCAATAGTACTCGCACAATAATTTATTATTCTGATTATTATTGTTTAAAGTTCCGGAAAGGTTTTTAATTAGCGTCATTGGTTTCGCTATTATATTATTGTATGGCAATAATTAGCGGAGCGTAATCAATCACCAAGATACTTTTTGCGCGAATTTAATACACAGCTAAATATACGCCACCTCTCCTCGCACACAACATTTCTAAAACTCAATAAATATACACGACGACACGGTTAAAACTTTGCCGAGGCCATTTTATTAAATGCTCTTGTCAGATTGTATATTATATACAATGTGCAATAGCGGCGCAATAGGGTATTTCATGAGACGACGGCCTCATGACCAATTGGGTGGTATGACCTGGATCATACCACCCATTGGGACATTGGGTGCCTCATGACTAAGCTAAAAGTATGAATTGTTGCTAACTGTTTCGTCTTAATAGTTAGGTTTATTTTTATTAATGTAAAGTATTATAGTAATTATTTATTTATATGAAATTAAAATATTATATTTCCCTAATTTACTTTAACTTTCACGTGTAAAATATTCAGTGTTAAGGTAACCAGCAAACATTTTAATAAACCACAATTTTTACGAAGAAGATAAAAGTAAACTGGTGATTTGTTAACTGTGTAAATTAATTTAAAAAAAAAAAATCCCACAGACTCCAAAACTCTGTCGATTAAATGTCACATGTTTTACATGGCTCGGCATTTTGTTCATTAGTCCGGTGTTTTCTTATATTGATGGATAGCGAAATAAATAAAAAAGGTATAATGTATTATTAAAATATATGAAGTGTCCAATTTTATTAATTTTTTGTCTTCATAAAATCACCATAACTACGAGGGCTAATCAAAAAGTATCAAGACTGGTAGTATCATTCGGAAAAGGAGCATCGAAGAGCAGTAGGATTGGTATCACTTGTTTCTATGACTTTTTCTGAGTACATTTGTTTTTATTGCTTCTCTAAAAAATTCTTCGGTTTGATTTCACTGATATTTTTATAAAATATATTTTTCGAGTTTAGCGGTTTTGTAATAAACCCAAAAGAAGAGTAACTTGACAGATTTGGAGATTTTAGAAAATTTGTCTGTATTTTTTTCAAATTTCAGAGAGATGCAACATTTCATGGTTTTTGCCATTAAATATCAATTGAAAAACTGAAAATGTGCCCTCGAGTGGCAGCGAGTTCCGCTTCTTTTGGATTCATTACGAAATCGCCAAACGTGAAAAACAAATTTTAGAAAAATATCGTCAAATCAAAACGAAGAAGTTTATAGAGATTTTATACGAATAGATGTGCTCAGTATAAGCCATAGAAGCTAGGTTTACAAACCGTTTTGCTCTTCAACGCTCGGTTTCCGAGTAATATTATCAGTCTCGATACTTTTTGATTAGCCCTCGTATTAAAACATATATTTGTGGAATGGTAAATTGGTGAAGACGGGGGGGGAGCGGTGTGTGTGGCCTCACGACTCTGTCCTAAGTGGTAACACTTAAGTGGTGGTGGTCAACTTATAACACTTATGTTTGCCTCGTAAAATAAAAAAATTAACGCTGCCACTGATAATGTGTACTGCTCAAGACGTATAAAACCGGATTCCTAGTCGTTAATTTTAATGCGGTGTAAATATTATAATATATTTTCAGGCGGCGTTCATCAGTCACAGTCGTATCTCGGCCGATATCGCATTATTAATTTGTTTTATTGTCGTACACTACGATAATAATTGTATACGCGTAGAGATTATATAATACAATACTATTATAAAACAATTGGACGAATTCAGTTCTGACGAGGACGAATATCGTATCGATTAACCCGTGAATTATTCCGAACGACGGCATAACAACGGTTTGCGATTGATTTAAAATGTTTTCCGTAAGATCGCGAAATATTTACAATATTAAACGCAATTGCACGGGTAGCAAGGCTTCAGATTTAATCGTCATGAAAATCGGATATCTATCAAGAGCTATCCGATGATCCCGTCGGGAGACTCGCCAAGGGGAGGCCCGCCGAGAAATTACCGTATTTTCGATAGGCCTATGCGCCCCTCGAGCAGCGAAATAACCTGATGAACTACGTTTTGAAAAAAACTTAGGTTAAAAATCATACGCATTTTTAAATATGCCCGAAATAAAAAAAAAATGTATTTTATCCGTTATCGTAAAATTGTGTAACTTGTAAGCGTTTATTTTAATTTTTTTGTTGTTACGCTATTGTATTGTAGACCGAATAGTTATTCGAATTGGTTTGATTACTATTGCGTTTATACAGAAACCTACAATTTCCTTAATACCTTATGGTATTTTATTGATTGATAATTATTTAAATATTCGTTGATGCGAGCAAATACGCGGTAGTGAATCGTAAAGTAACACATTTTTATCGTAGGAAGAGTAGTATGACTCATAAGATTTAGCGTACCCTATACTTTTTTATCCAATATAAAACCAAATTGATTTTTGAAATAAATCTCCTATTATTATTGTCAGGGCTATTAGGAGCACACCGTAAAACCAAAGTCTGATTCCGCCTAATCACCGTCATTACTCCTACCCGTTCGGGTATTGCAATATTGTAGAAATGCACTTCACGTCAATATAAACGGAAAGTAATTATTATTGTTTTGTTCGGGCTGCGGTTTTTTTGAAATATAAATATAGTTTTTTTTTTTTTTTTTTTTGAAATCAATTTAGGCTTTTCACTAGAGGGTTTATCAAAACTTATTTTTTTCTCGCTATTGTCGAGGCCCCTAAGTAATATAAATTTAACTTCTAATTTTAGCCAATTCATTGTATTTGTATGTATATGTTTACGTATGCAACTATAATAATAATAATATAATACGAATATTATCTTTTGCGTAGATTTTTAATATTTTTTTTTTTTTTTTTTTTTGTGTAATAATATTCCATTTTAAATAACGATGCGTATAAAAACCGCACGGCCTTTCACGACAACCCGACATTTTGGTTCTTTTAACTGATGTTAAAAATTACATTATATTAAACTAAGTCGGTTCTTTACCTTTTCTTTTTTTTTTTTATTCACGATGATAATTCAGTTTTAAATGTACACGAAAAATTCCAATTAGCCCAGCCATTGTTCGGTGTTCACAGAAAAAAAAAAGTCATTATGAATTCATCGCCGCTACGGTGTATTATAATAATACCTATCATAGTAGTAGTAGTGAATATTAAAATTAAAAAAAAAAAATTGCAAATTAAACAATACGCGGATGAAAAAAAAAAAGAAAAAGAAAAAAAAATCCGAAAAATGAATTACTCGTGATTGCGTCAGATATTATTTTAAGAACGATGGTACTAACGACGAGGCCAGCATTTCTATAACTAAAAAAATTCAAATTCCATAGTTCCGTCCGGGATTAACGAAATTCGGTCGTAATTTAATTATTATTTGTTTTGATTTTAAAATGCTGATCGTGGCGAGAAATGTATTGGTTTTACTGAGTGTTTTTTTATTCTCCTGTCTGTGAACAACTTTTCTACTGGAAATCCAATCGATTTGTTCCGATCAAAAAAATCGTAAGAAAAGTTTTTCGATGGGTTTTATTCTCATCTACCAGTGGCAAACCCGTTTCTAGTATATCAGCTATTGTTTTTTTTTTTTGTATTAATAATTGTTTTACTAGGATTCTCTTAAGAAATAAATTTTCTGACAGAAATCTTATTCTGATTTTTAACTAATCAAAGGCTCACCAAAGTTTCTGATAGACTTTCGTGTCTTTTTGGTGTGTTGCGAAGATGATCTTTTAATTTTCCTTATAGTTGTCTCGAGTTATCTCGAAAACCTTAAAAAATCACGGAATTTCAAAATGTATGTTTAAATATGCTCAGAATCGTATTCCGTTAGTGATAATATATTGTTGCAAAGAGATATAAATTAGAAAACTGAAAACGGCATAAAAGATAGCTTCCTGACTTTGCGTCTATAACAGCAGCACCGCCAATCAGCTCTCTCTCTCTTTTTGTTTTTTAATTTAATTTAACCCGTCGAACAGTACACCACCGTCAGTCGCTTATATATTCACGTCGTCTTCTTTGTGGGGATTTTTTTTTTGTCTTCTAAATTGAGACGCACTTATCGTGTTACTGTACTGCTATAGCGGATAAAGACGTCATTCTCG